ACACACACTCCCTGCCCCTTGCTACTGCATCCATAGCACCAAACAAGATGCTGGGCACATGAACATGGAATAAATTCTGAATAGTGACAGCCAGCTTAATATCCAAAGGGGCGGTTGGACAGTGAGTTGATAGCTCAGGGGCGAGACTTTGGTGTCAGAAATATTTAGGAGGTCACTATGACGTCAGACGAGTGAAAGGGCTCGATTTGTAACTAACGCAAGATAAACAGTAATGTGGCTCACAGTCTGTCGAAAAGGTGCTGGGGCTGTCTTCCGCCTAGCTGCGGCCTCAAGTTGATTCCCAGTCCGGGTCCTGGAACCCGGCCGCCAACAGGCGGAGGCACATCGACTCCTGATCCCCGGGAACGCCCGTGACTTTCCCTCCTCCGCCCTCCGCGCCTTCCAATAGCTGAGGAAGATGACCTTTGGGAACCGCCTTTTCCGGACGTGGCTCCAGGCGGCGACCGGAAGTGGGCGGGAGCTCCGGAAGTTCAGGGGAGTTTCCTGCGAGCTCGGCTTCCTCAACATGGCAGCGCCCTTGTCAGTGGAGGTGGAGTTCGGGTGAGTAACAGAGCTGGGGCGCCCTGGGTATGGATTGAAGTCCTCGGGCCCGCAACTCCTCTCCTGTCTCGAGGCCTGACACGGCCGAGTTGCCGAGCTCCCGGCGCCTGCCGTGAGCCGTGCCACCCGCCTTGAGTTTGATAGGCTCAGTCTCCCTCGGCAACGCCGTATGTCCGGGAATAGAGGCGCACACACGGGCGGGGAGGTGCGCTCTGGGTACTCCGCTGTGCCCAGTACCTGTAAGGCTCAAAAGACATGACGGTTAGCGGGTGGCCTCTCTACGCACTTTACCAGGTCCATCGGTTTGGCATCTGGCTCCTTGAAAGAACCGCTCTCCAACCCATGATTTCTTTCTTCAGGCAGCAGTTTCAATATCCGCTTACACGGTTCTTGAGGCTTTGTTTCCTGTGGGATGTATGGACAAGACGGAACTCTTTTTTTTCTTCTTCTTCTTCTTTTTCGCAAGACTTGGGATTTTAAAAAGACCTGAAGCTCTTTTCAGGATAGTCAATAAACTTGCTGAGTGCCTCTGCAGATCTTGAGTCGAGTAGAGGTATGGGGATAAATGTGATAACCACATTGGGAGAGACTAATATTGGCAGTATATTTTGCACAAGATGAAAATGCAGGGATTAGAACACATCAATAACTGAAGAAAACGGTAGAGAGGAAATCTTCTTAAGCCACTATCTTATCCCTCCAACAAACAGGTTTGTCCTGGTTTCAAAACAGAGAAAGCCAGGGATGGTGGTGCACACCTGTAATCCTGGTAGCCTTTAGGGAGGAGTATGAGACTGGAGAATTGCAAGTTCAAGGCCAGCTTCAGCAACTTAGCAAGGCCCTGTGCAACTGTCTCAAAATAAAAATTAAAAACTGAGAAAAACTGCATAGCTTAGAGAGACAGCAAAGAAACTGAGACCCTAAAAGATGGGTGGTGATATCATTGCCAGAATCACATGAAAAGGATGGGACTCTGTGTGTGCACGCGCACGCGCACTGGGAAAGGGAGAGGAAAAGTCAGGGATAGGAATCTAAAACCTCTGTCCAAATGCCTTTCCTCTCATTGGATGCTCCCAGTTTCTTTCATGTTTTCCCTTCATTGGGTGGTTCATTCACCAGTCATTTATTGAGTGCCTACCATGTGCCAGGCAATGAGCCAGACACAGAGGATACAAAGATAAATAGCACTCTGTCCATGCCCTACAGTGTTCAGCATTTCTGTCCCTTAGAAGGGGGTAGCCTCATGAATGTTAAGTGCATTTTAATTGATGATTATTGTCTAGCCGCTTGGATCCAATTAGAACTACATTGGTCAGGCTTTCTGACTATTTTGCTTCACTCACCCTTGGCCCAGCTGTACCCTAAAGCCTGGGCATTTTAGGAGAATCCCTTCTGTCTTGACAGGCCTCAGTAGAGCTGTAAAGGGAGAAGCTTCAGATTGCCAGGCTGGGACTTATCCATAGTCAACTTGCCTTTTATTCTCATTAAGCAGACATGGTGTTTGTTCACCAGAGATGTCTTCTGTCTTCCAGATACTGTGCGGGCAACAGTGAGGAAGTCATGAATTCACAGGCCAACATAATTACTTCTTTTCTAGTTTCAGCTTCCCTTACCCCCAAGAGCAGTAGTGAGTTCCAGCAAAACAAGACAACATCCCTCTACCCATCTATCTACCTCCTTCCATCACTACCCACACCATTGTCCCATGAGAATTGTATCTTCTTGGGAAGTAAGAATGCCCAAGATGCATTGCAAACCCAAGTCCCTGCTCTCTGTCTTGCATATTTTTATCTCTGACCTTTTACTTCCTACATCTCTTAGTAGATGTGTTTCACCCTGAACCTAAGCTGCCGTGCCCACCCTTATCTCCCTTGTTTCCCTGTTTTCCTACCATCACAGATCCTAGAAGAGTTTGGGTTAGGACTTTGTCTCTAACCCCTGAGCAGATATAGTCTCTTGGCCCCATCAGCTCTTTTTTTTTTTTTTTTTTGTGTGTGTGTGTGTGTGTATGATGGTGCTAGGGATTGAACCTAGGGTCTTGTGCATGTGAGGCAAGCGCTCTACCAACTGAGCTATATATCCCCAGCCCCCATCAGCTCTTTTTTGAGCCTTCTAAAAAGCCTCTTGCACCATTCTCTCTTTTGTCAGTAACTAGTTCTGCCATCTTTTGTCTTCCCTCTTGAACTGTTCCTAGCAGAGCTTTTTCTCAGAATTCAAAAGTGCGTAGTATGGATGTGTTTTGAGTCCTTCAGTTCAGGCTGTTAAAATTCAAATGTAAGATTCTCTTTACCACATTCCTTTTCCTCCTCCCTGAATTGGGGAAGTATTAACAAAGGAGGGTACCATTGAGGTCAGAGAAAAAATAAGAAAAATGGACATTTTCATTTATTTGGCAAATATTTGTTGAGCGCCCACTGTGTGCTAGGCCCTGTTTTAGGCAGGGCTTGTATTCCAGCAGGTAGAAGGGAAATAAAGAATCAAATATAGGACTGGGGTTGTGGCTCAGTGATAGAGCGTCTACCTAATATGTATGAGGCACTGGGTTCAGCACCACATAAAAATAAATAAATAAATAAAAATAAAGATTCATCCACAACTGAAGTAATATATTTTTTTAAAAAAAGAACCAAATATAGATGAATAGATGATAAAGACAATGAAGATGAACTAGTAGAAGGAAGACAGTTTTGGGAATGTCTGTATCTGTCACTGGTATAAACAGACATCCAGCAGGAATGTCTGGGCACGTGGAGAGAAGATGGAGATCTTAGTTGAGTTGCATAGCAAATCCTGTAAGACATAAGAAGATTTGGTTGGGTCCATGGGGCTAGAACAGGCCCCTTGTCTGCCTCCTAGGATCACTCTAGAGGCTTGGTGTGCACTTTCCCCCACTACAGATGTGCTGACAGAAGTGCCAACCCCTCCCCTGGGGCCCAGTGAACCCAGCAGTGACAGGTTACTCTCTGAGCCAGACTGGTTCTGCCTTCATCCATTTATAAAGGGAAAAAACAGACTCAGCCTCTGAGACTGGCACCACCAGCTTTGGCCACTCTTGGTTGTTTGCCTGGGTCCCAGTGCCTCCAGTTCCCACCCATCTTCTCTGACCCCCAATTCCTGAGCCCCTTGCCTGTCACCATCCCCCATCCCAGCTGCTACATGTGCCAACCCCTACCCAGGAGAAAATGAGGCTCTTGGAAGGAGATAAATGGAGGCTCTGTGCGGGCTTGCAGCTGAAATGGCCCTGCACACAGCCACAGATGGGCCTCTGCTCCCCCTCCACATTTCTGCATCAACAAAGCGTGACCTTGTTTGGATGACAGTCGCCCCATGTTTCTCCCATGACAATGCTTTCCTTGCCTTTGCCTCCCAGTGGGCTGTCTCAGGACATCTCTGTTCCCTGAAATTGGGAAAGGGTGGTAGGCTGGGAGGTATCCCATCCATCAAGTCTATTAGGGCCTTCTCAGGTCAGACCCATGTTAGGTCTGAGATGGGAATCAGGAGACCCAAAGGGAGATGAGTATGGGGCACTGAAAGAGTCCTGCTGCCCACATCAGGAGTCCTGGCTTCTGTACTTGACTCTGATTATCTCTGCTGTTCCTGCCTTCCCAGGGCACAATGTTGAGACACAGAAATGAACCAAACTCTGCCCTCAGGGGGCTTTCTGACCTTTGGGGAGTCTAATTTATTTATTTTTCAGCAAGGCTGCTGGGGCTGAGCAGAAACCAGTTAGATTCATATTTTAGTGTAGCTGCTTCCTGTCTGACCTTGCACAAGTCACTTAACCTTTCCAGGAATCAGCCTGCTTCTCTATGAAATGGAGTTAATGATATCTGCCTCCCTCCCAGTTCTTCCCTGTGATGTCTTGAGGATGAAATAAGGTGAGGAGCATCTTATAAATGGCAGGATTACTCTTGGTGGATGCTAGCTGAGGCTGAGAGCTCAGTGGACTCTCAGCCTCCAGTGCTGTGGTATGCCCACCAGGCTAGCAGCAGGGGACAGGGACAGGGTCATTTCTAGACCTCACCTGGCCAGAGGAAACTTTGAGATGCACAGGATCTGCAGAAGGTCTTACAAGGCTTTTCAGCATTTTTGCAGATGGAAAGATCAAGGTATGAGAAGATGGAGTCACATGCCCTGGTTGGCAGAGATGGAGCCTGGTCTCCATGTTGGAATTGGCAGCTCCAAAGCTAATATTCTGTAACTGTACTCGGCTGCTTCTGGGGCAAACAGTCTGCTTGATTATTAGTAAAAATTACTTATACCTACTTTACCACAGCAGGAAGTCGCATTTGAGAGTTAGTCACCAGTGCCGTGTTGTTCCTGAACTTTGGTCTCTATCTCTTGGGCTTCTACTTCCATTCTCATCCTTAGTTCTTCTTCCATTCTCATCTTAGTTCTCATCCTTAGTTCTGTTTGCAGGAGCTCACCTGGCTGTCTTTTTTGGCCTTCCTTTGCAGAGGTGGTGCGGAGCTCCTATTTGATGGTGTAAAAAAACATCAAGTCACCTTGCCTGGGCAGGAGGAGCCCTGTGAGTATTAGCTTTTTAAGCTGGGGTGGGGGAGTGGATATTGGGCAGGAGAGGGTCTATGGGATCATTTAGCCCTGTTCAGTGGAAATGGGTAGGATTTCCCTGGCCAGGGGTGGGAAGGAAGAAAAAGTCACCAGAATACTTTTCTCCCATCTTTTCTGGGATCAACCAGCTTCGTGGGAGGGAAGTGGGGTTACTTAGTTCTGTGAAGGTTTCATACTCCTTAGAACCTTAGGCCAGAGACCTAGTCTTCTTTAACTCTAGTATTCTCAGCTGTGAAGTGGGTTGGCAGTCCTTCTCTCTTAGAGATGTTAGGAGGAGGAAGTAAATTATGCCATTATGTGGGGGGTGGGGGTGTGTGCTGGGGATTGAACCCAGGGCCTTGTGCATGTGAGGCAACTACCAAATGAGCTATATCTCCAGCCCTCTATTATTATAATGTGGCAGCACAGGGAAGGTCTTTTCAAGGAGGTAACCTTCCCTGAGAACGGACCAAACAATTGGACTCTCCTGACAGTGCAGAGATTTAGACTAATGAAAAGGCTCCAGCCAGAAAGATTGGAGGAGGGAGGTTGACTAAAGGAGAAACTTGTTAATCTTTCTTGAACAAATATATACTGAGGGCTGGGGATGTGGCTCAAGCCGTAGCGCGCTCGCCTGGCATGCGTGCAGCCCGGGTTCGATCCTCAGCACCACATACAAACAAAGATGTTGTGTCCGCCGATAACTAAAAAATAAATATTAAAAATTCTCTCTCTCTCTCTCTCTCCCTCCCTCCCTCTCTCACTCTATCTTTAAAAAAAAAATTCTCTCTCTCCTCTCACTCACTCTCTCTTTAAAAAAACAAAACAAATATATACTGAGCAGTTTTTGTGAGGTGGACTGTGTCTGGTCATTGAGGTGACAAACTTGAACAAGAGGAGTCAGCCCCTGCCTTCAAGTGGGGAGGTTTTAAAGAGTTAACGCAGAGGTATGCCAGGGTAACCATCAGTATAGCCTAGGGCAGGGTCTGGATCTAGTGACTGTCAGGTCTTTTACAGCCCTAGCAGTGAGTCCTGCTGAGAGCAGATACTCAGGGATAGGAGCCCAGTCTCTTTCTGAGGCTGAGACGAGGCCATCAAGCATATGCGGAAGCAGGGGAATGAGGTTCTAGGAGGTGGACACTAAAAAATGATCAGGTGAGGTTTGATAAGATTCTTCTGAAGTGGACACATCTGCCAGGAACAAAACAATTACACTTGTCCAAATCCACTGGTTGCCATGGTCATCTCTGGCCCTCCTTTGGGTCCCTGGCTCCCTGCCATTCTTAGAGGCTGGGGGACATTTATCCAGAATCAGGGTACTGCTCACCTTGAGCTGGGGCTGTGTGTAGTTGGTGTTAAAACGGCAGGATAGTAAGATTTTGCATCCTTTCTGGGGGTGACGGGGACCCTCAGATGATAGATCCTTGTTTCTTAGTGTGGCCGATGGCCACGCAACCTTGGCAGCCTTGAGAGGAAGCAAGGGTTCTCAGATAAAGCCTCTCAAAGATCTTTCCTGGAAGTTTATTAAAATAGCACATTATGATTTATTTCCTCTTATGTTTGCTTGGCATGAAAGCCCACTAGTCTTCACCATTCTAGCTCCATCTCATTCATTCATTGACAGAGTACTCAGCAAGTGCCAGGAATGAATGGTAGGAAGTACTTAATTCTTTCATGTAGTTGGCAATATTTTTTGATTGCCTCCTTTTGCACTGGTGCCTCCAGTGCACTGGTTGCTGGGTGGGTTCTTGCCTTCATGAAGTTAACTGTGGCATGCAAATGGAGCCGGCAGTAAATAAGGAAATAAACATAAAACTGTACCATCACAGACTCCAGTGATTGGCATGAGAAGAGCACATAGGTGGGCTGGGGATGTGGCTCAAGCGGTAGCGCGCTCGCCTGGCATGCGTGCGGCCCGGGTTCGATCCTCAGCACCACATACAAAACAGAGATGTTGTGTCCGCCGATAACTAAAAAATAAATATTAAAAAAATTTTAAAAAAAAGAAGAGCACATAGGTGCTTGGAATGGGACGAACAAGTGGTCAAGGAAGGCCTCTTCAGTTCAAGGAGATGAGGTTGAGTGAAGGCCTGAAGAATGGAAGGAAGCCAACCTGATAAACTGCAGGGAGAGAGCAAAGAGGCCTGGGCCTTTCCAGGCAGGGAGACAGCACTTGGGAAAACTCCAAGGGGCAAAAAGCCTTGGTCTGGGTAGAGAGCTGAAAGAAGGCCAGGATTAAGGCGGGCACAGGCTGAGTTTGGAGTGGCAGGTAAAGTCTCAGAAGGTTTTGTAGATCATTTTCTCACATTCTTAGGAGATAGCTCCTATTATTTCAATTTTAAAAGGCCGAAACTGGGCTGGGGGTGTAGCTCAGTGGTAGAGAGCTTACCTGGCATGCAGGAGGCCTTGAGTTTGAATCCCAGCATTACCAAAAATTACATAAATAAGTTAAAGTGAAAAAGGGATCTTTTTCATATAATTACTTAAGTGGCAGCACTGGGAAGCACACCCAGACCGCAGGGTCTCTGCAGTCCAAGCATTAACCCATCATTTGTTTCAAGAGGCTCCCTGAATCACCCTGAGGTATCACACCCAAGACCTGTTTTCCAGTTTTTACACTGTTACTTTCACTCATGACCCTCATTGGTTATTTAGTTTAATTTTTGTTATGACCCTGACAGATCCTATCACCAAGGAAGTCAGACCTCAGAGGGAAGGAAAACAGATAGAGGAGGAGGGACCTGAGACCTGTCCACAATTACCTAGGTAGGGAAGCTGGGCTAGGAGCTAGGACTCAGGTTTCTGTTCCTTCATTCCTCAGCCAGATAGCAAAACATGGAGGCCCATCAACCCAGGGAAGGAAGGCAAGATGCCCCTATTGCTCACTCCTGGTCCCCATTTGTGACTTACGGTATCCAGAGGCACAGGTCACATTGCAGCCACAGAGTTAGTTTGCAGTTGCCAGGCCTTACTCTGGCACTCATGAACCCAAGGGGCCTGATGCTGCTGGAGAAGTCTTATATTCTCTCCCCAATCCATGCCCAGATCTGTCATCTGGCAACCTTCCCAGCCCTGGCTGCCACTTGGCCAAGCAGGTCTTAGATACTCCAGCTGAAATAGCAAGAGCCATGGATCACAGATTGTGACTGCTCGGCATGGTGGCAATCCCAGCAACTCTGGAGTCTGAGGCGGGAGGATCATAAGTTCAAGGCCTTGGAAACTTAATGAGACCCTGGTCAAAATGAAAAGGGCTTGGAGGTAGCTCAGAGGTAGAGTGCTCCTGGGCTCAATTCCCAGTATTAAAAGAAAGAAAAAAAAAAACTGTAGACTATGATAAGTCTCACAAAAAAGGGGACCTGTGGGTCCTGGGCCAGGGGAGAACTTCCAACCCACCCCACATGGTAAAAGGACAGGAGAGGCCAAAGGGGATGAAACTCCAAGAGAGGAGCCCTGGCAGTGTGCATTGCACATTAGTGGCTTCGGCCAACCTCTCTCTCCCCATGTGTAGAATGGAAGATGGGCCAATTCCACTCTTTATTGAGCCTGATATCTGTTGAACAACTCGAATTTGGAAAAGTTGGTTCCAGATGTAAGTATATGTCCTTTTGTGAAGTAGGATGTGCAGACCCAGCAAGTGGTTGCAAGTATGTGTTTGCAAGAGGTGGGTGGTGTGTGTGTGTGTGTGTGTTAACTGTCATCATCTCCTTAATTGGAGGGGATTTTGGGGGTAGGCACCAACCACCGTCTGGCCATTTTGGCTGCTGGCCTTTTTGACTCAAGGATCCCTTCAACTCCAGGCTCCCAGCCCCTTCCCCTGTAGGAAGGAGACTGCCTCACCTTTCTCTCCCCACTCGCATGCCCCCTCCTCCTGCTGATTCACATTAAAGGGTGGCTGGTGAAGGAGGGGAGGAGCTGAGCAGAGCTTCTGGGCGCTTTAAACTGCTTAGCATTCATTTCACAGCCTCTCTGGGGCCAGCTGTTCCTTTCTCTGCTCTTGGGGCCTGTTTGCTGATCCCCTCCCTGCCTCCCTCCTCTCCTCCCACCCCTCCCAGTCCCTGTGCAAAATTGCTTTTGAAAAGATCCACTTTCTGCTTAATTAAACAATGAGGAGCGTCCCCTCGCACATCTGTAAACCTCCTTCTGAGGCCAGTTTAGCCCACAAACTGCTCCATTCTTACCCCATTCATTTGTAAATGGAGTCTCAGAGGTTCCCTCCACCCCTCTTCTCTTTCACTCCCCCTATGCCAGCTCTTTCTTCTCCCTTTCAACTTAGGCCTGGGGTGGGCTCTCAGAAGAACCCTGTCTTGGAGCCTTGGTGGGGACAGGAAGGTATAATCTACAGAAGGGAAGATTTAGGGGATCCAGGATCTCCTAAATCTGAAGGGCTGTTATGGGGACAAGGGTCATATTGTTGGCGTGGGCCCTGTGGACCAACAGGCCCAGTGGATGGGAGTGGCAGGAAAACTTGCTTCTGCTGGAGAAGCACAACTCCCTGGGAGTGACCTCCTGCCCCTGAGGTGTTCAAGGAGGCTGAATGAGAGTCTGTTGCAGGCAGGATTCAATGTCAGATGGGACCTTGAGGTTGTTCCTTTTCAGCCCCAAGAGCCTGGGGTTGACACCCTTGGTGGCCTTGACATATTGGGCAGCGTGTATACCCCAGACAAGGAGAAGTCACTGGGGCAAGGATTTTGGTGGAAGCTTTCTCAGGAGCCTGCTAGGATGGACATGCCATGTGCTCCTGTGGTACATGTCTGTTCAGCGTGTCCTGTGTGCTTCACGCTCTGTGGCCTGCTTCTAGGCTATATCTTAATTCTCACACAGTCTTCTTGGAGTGTGGATTGTTGTTCCCATTTGTTGAAAGGTATATGACATCAAGAAGACTTAGAGAGGTCAAGTGACTTCCTACTCAAGGCCATCCAGCCCACAGCTAAGTTCCCTCTGGCTCCAGAGGGGGAACTCTTAATCACTCTTCCACAGAGCAGCAGCTGTCTTCATTTGCCCTCCCCCAGCGGGCAGGCCAGGCCGCAAGGTCTTCTATGCTGAACACCTTGGCATTAAGTATCCATCTTCCTCCCCAGTGCCATGAGTAGGAGTCTGGCTGCTAGCACCCATGGCCTCAGGATGTGATTCCTTACTCCCAGGTTGTCCTGAGGGCTTTGACCGGTCACTGGCATCTTATGGGTCTGAATATAAAAAAATGGAAGGAAGAAGTCAGGCACAGGGGCCCATCGTTCCAGCTGGGAGACTGAGGCAAGAGGAACACCTGAGCCAGGAGTTTGAGGCCAGCCTGGGCAACAGAAAGAGACCCTGTCTTTAAAAAAGGGGGTGGGGTGGGGTTGGGGATTTAGCTTAGTGACAGAGCGCTTGCCTAGCTCGCACAAGGCCCTGGGTTCGGTCCTCAGCCCTGGGGGAAAAAAAAGATTAAAAAAAAAAAAAAAGGAAGGAAGCCCAATGTTACCACTTCCCTAATTCTCTTTCAGAAAGCCCCAACTAGCACTGACTGACAAATTACTAGACTCAACAGACTTTTCCAAAGCTGGGGTGCCAGGCTGCTATGCAGAGCAAGTGTGTGGAAGCCCAGGACACCAGAGAGTATGGAGGAGACAGGTTCCCCCTCTGGACTCCAGAATAATTACAACATTGATAGGTCAGGCACAGTGCCAAGAATTGTATGTGGATCATTTTATTCAGTCCTCACAACAACCTGTCAGGCATTCTGACCACCCCGTTTTGCAAGGCAAAAAAACTGAGGCTCTGGAAGTTCCCTTCCCAAGGTCAATAAGTACAAGTGACAGGGTCCAACTCAAAACCAGGACTATCCAACTCCAGTCAGTGGTCTTAGTCTGACTCTTCACCCCCCTCAGTTGCCCCTGTGTTCAGCAAGAGTTTCAGGGTTCTGAGCCTCAGCTCCCACTCTAGGAATGGGAGGGTATGCCATATATTTGAGCTGGATCGGGCTTCAAGGGTCAAGGCAGATAAACAGCACATACTTGGTCATCCCCGCTGGGGTTCATGAAAAGAGAGTGGCACCTTCCAGAGCAGGCCCCTCCTCAGGGTCCCTCTCATGTTGAGCTGTTCTTCTTTTTCTTTTTTTTTTTTTAGTTGTAGTTGAATATAATATCTTTAATTAATTTATTTTTTTTCTTATATGGTGCTGAGGATAGAACCCAGGGCCTTGCCTGTGCTAGGAAAGCACTCTATCACTGAGCTACAACCCCAGCCCACATGTTGAGCTTCTTTATTTTATTTGTTTTTATCTTTATGTGGTGCTAGAGATTAAACCCAGTGCCTCATGCATGCTAGGCAAGCTCTACCCCTGAGCCATAACCCTGGTCCCATCATTTTGAGCTTTTTAACCTCTCCTTTCTGTTACCTTGTACCTGCCAGTTCCATCCTGCCTTAGGTCTTCCCGTGTGCTCTTACTGCTGTCTGGGGTACTCCCCCACAGCCACCCCACTCATTCTTCAGACCTGAGCTTCAGTGTTTACACCCTCAGAAAGGCCTTTCCTGAGTCCAGCATGATGATGTATGTCTGTAATCCCAGTTGCTCAGGAGGCTGAGGCAGGAGGATCCTGAGTTCAAAGCCAGCCTCAGCAATTTAGTGAGGCCCTAAGTAACTCAGCGAGACCCTGTCTCTAAATAAAGTATAAAAAAAAAGGCTGGGTATGTGGCTCAGTGATTAAGCACCCCTGGGTTCAATCCCTCTTACCACCCACCCCACCCCAAAAAAGGCCCTTCCTGATCCCAGACAAAGGAGGTAGCATTTTATCACCTACTTAAGTCATGTCTCTTTCGCTACTGTCCTCTTAGCTCCATGACTGTGGGCTCTGCTTCCATCTTGCTCACCACCATCTCCCTTGTACCTGGCACATAGTAGTTGCTCAATAAATGTTTGTCTTTTGAATGGTTGCCTGGGATCATAGGAAGGAGACCACTCTCAGCAGAATTGGAAAGGCAGGAGAACACAGAGTGGAAAGGTGGAATTGAGAGTCTCTCAGCCCCACCTTTATCTCAGAGCCATCCTCAAGCCACTAGCCCCCGACTCTGCTTAACCCTTCCTCCTCCCCTGGGTGCCTTTGGAAGCCGACCATCTGGCTTGAAGCCTATTTGCATATTGTCTGGGCCTCAACAAGCTGAGCAAGATGTCCCTGGGGGTGTGTTTCAGGCCATGCCGAGTGGTCTTTGCAGCCTAAGAAGGGAGCCTTGAGTTCTACCTCTCCCCACTCTCAAATTCAAGCATGGGGAAACAATACCGGTGGTGATGTGGTAGCCTCACCATGGAAACCGGCTATCAAAAATGTGGGCAGGCCTGGGGTGGGGGGTGGGCAGAGGAGGGAGGGAGTGACCTCAGCAAATAGGAGCATCATGATAAATGAGCCAGCACCAGGCAGCAGACTTACCCCTCAGCCCACCCCTCGGGACTCCATGATGGTGCCATCACGTGGATGACCCCAGCATGACCACTGGCCCTCCCCCACCCCCAAGCCTATCCATAATGGAGCAGACATGCCCTCCTTTTGGAGGGAGATAGGGTTGTGGGGGTGCAGTCTGTGGTCCCCAGTCCAGGCACTGCCCAGTCCCTGTTGCTGCCTCCGCACACAAGCACAGCCCCACCCGCAAGGCTGGCTGATGGATGTGTCAGGTCGTGGCAGCTCTATCGAGCGGCCACAAGACGTATGGGCCAGAGGCCCACCAGACAGTGCCAGGTAGAGGCCAAGGGGATTCAGGGCCAAGAGAAAGCCTCTGGAACCCAAGCCTTGGGGAGGAGCCTCCAAGAGTCCAAGTGGACTACAGATAGCTAGAAACTGTACTCGCACACATGCCTGTTCCAGGGACTCTGGGAATTCCAGTCTGTTTATTTTATTTGCTTTGTTTTGTTTTGGTGATGGTGATTGAACCCTGAGGTGCTTTACCACTGAGCTACACCTCTAGCCTCTGTTTTTGGTGGTACTGGGGACTGAACTCAGGGCCTTACGCAGGCTACGCAAATGCTCTACCCTGAGCTACATCCTCAGCCCTTTTATTTTTTAGGGGTCTTGCCAAGTTGTTTAGGGGCTTGCTAATTAAGTTTGAGGCTGACCTCAAACCTGCAGTCCTCGGCCTCACTGGTGACTGAGATTATAGGTGAAAGCCACCAGCAGACTCCATTGTTTAAAAGGAGGAACTACAGGAGTGGTGGCCAGCAACCCAGGAGGCTGGGTAGGAGCATTGCAAATTTGAGGCCAGCCTCAGTAATTTAATGAGAACCTGTCTCAAAATAAGAAAATAAAAAGGACTAGGGTATAGCTCAGTAATAGAGCATACCTAGGTTCAATCCCCAGTACCAAGTAAAATTGGAAGGTAGCAGCCTCAGCTTATGGACACTTTGCCTGTTCATAGGCACAGGCCCTGTGTTCTGCTGGTGTACAATCTAGGGGTGTTGGTGCCCAGCCTCGAGGCTCAGCACATCTTGACTACAGCCTTCCGCCTGGGAAGGTGGCATGCAGGCCAGGGAGAGTGCTTCCAGCCCTACCCAAGGCAGCGGTTGCATGTGAGCTGCGCTTCTGAACCCACATGGAGCACAGAGCAGAAACCTCTTCATGTCCAAGCAATTTATAGAGCCAGATCCCAGTGTGCTGTGGCGTGGCACCTTTGATCCTGAGGTGACCCAGCCTCTGAGCCTCTGTGTGAGTACACAGAGACTGGTGGCTGCTCCAGAACACCAGATCCACAATGAAGCAGATCTCCGTGTTCAGCTGAGCAGGAGAGGCCCTTTTGACCCTGAACCTCTTGCATCTTCAAGGTAGCCATCCCCAGTCTTGAGGGCTCTGGAGGCAGGGAGTGGTGGAGCAGTGATCTGTCAGTGTCCCTGGCTGGTGAAGGATCCTTCTCTCCCTGTGCTAGAGGAAATTAACTGATGTTATCAGCTCAGTGATTGTTTTTCTCCCCTCACAAAGGGAAATATATGCAGACCCTTCTAAGAGCAAAGCCCAATCCTCTCCATCTGGGACTGGCTGGAGATGGAGGTGGAAGGGGCTCTTCAGGGCCCTCTCAGAAGCCTGGCTGGGGCAGTCCAGATCAGCTTCCAGGACTTGTGGGTGGGGTTTTGTCTCCCAGACCATAAGATGTGACTGTCTTGAGTCCCTTGCTATATAGGTAAAGGCCAGTACTTTTTCAAGCTTTCAGCAGGGCTAGGGGCCACTTTCTGTGAAGATCTCTCTGAAAAGTCACTAACCTCTCCTAATTCGTTTCCTCATCTTAAGAACCCACAAATTCATGGGCCATCACAGCCTAGTCCAAAAAAAGCCCTGTAAGCTCCCACATGCACTCCCTTCTGGGCCAGGCAAGGTTTTGGGACCCAAGCATCATTTAGGTTTGAGCTGCCTGTGGTGGCATACACCTGTAGTCCCAGCGACTGGGGAGGCTGAGGGGGAGGATCCCTTGCTAGTTAACAGATCAAAAATAAGTGCTCACGTTGGCTGGGGATGTGGCTCAAGTGATAGCACACCTGCCTGGCATGCGCGAGGCACTGGGTTCAATCCTCAACACCACATATAAATAAATAAAGATATTGTGTCCACCTGAAACTAAAAAATAAATATTAAAAAAAAAGTGCTCACTTCAGCATCACACTTTCTAAAATTGTAATAATACAGAGAAGATTAGCATGAACCGGGCACCATGGTGCAAGCCTATAATCCTAGCAACTCAGGAAGCTAAGGCAAGAGGATTGTGAGTTCAGAGCCAGCCTCAGAGCTGAACCAGGTGGCGCATGTTTGTAATCCCAGAGACTCGGGAGGCTGACACTGGAGAATCACAAGTTCGAGACCAGCCTTAGCAACTAAGCAAGACCCTATTTTTGAAGTTTTAAAAAATAGTAAAAAGGGCCTGGGATGTAGCCCAGTGGTTAAGCAACCCTGGGTTCAATCCCTGGTAATAAAACAAAACAAAAAATAATCACCTGGTTTGATATTAGTTGTGTCTTCCTCTCCAGGGGACATCCGGAACCTCCTCATCTGGATCAAGAAGAATTTGCTAAAAGAGCGGCCAGAGCTGTTCCTCCAGGGAGACAGTGTGTGAGTCCCTTCCTCTCTTCCCTGAAGAAGACAGGGTGGGAAGGACGTCTGGGCCCCTATCCTTGGGTTCAGTCTCACCTCCTCTGGGTCCTGTTCCCTCTTTGTTCTCCCTGTCTCCTCTGAGAAAAGAGCTATCCAGTTCTGAGGTCGATTTTCAGTTTTCTTGATACCACACTGGACTGTCCGGAATTTGTTAAAAGCCCTCACGAGGGGCCGGGGATACAGCTCAGTTGGTAGAGTGCCTGCCTCTCATGCATAAGACCTGGGCAACACACATGTGATGAAAGGAGCCTGGTGAATTTCTCCAAAAAATCCAGTTACACCTTCTGGCAGCCACAAACTTGCTGTGAAATCTGAGGCAAGTTACTTTGCTTCTTTGGGCCTCCATTACACTCTCTATACAGAAAATTCTAAGAAAAAGATGCTGCTCAAGGTCCCTCTTGTCATTGAACTATCTAGGACAATGCTATCCCATGAAACTTTCTTGCAGTGATGGAGATGTTCCATATGTGTGCTGTCCAGTGTGGTAACTGCTGCCACATGGGGCTGTTGAGCTCTTGTAGTGCAGCTAGTGTGAGTGAGGAACTAAACATTCCATTTTATTTCATTATAATATAAATAGCAACATATGGCCAGTAGGTACTGTATGGGACACACAGGTCTCGGATTCCAGGGGTCATTAACTACATGCATGTACCCTCTCAGGAACACACATTTAATCTCTCACTGTGGATACCCTATAAAAGTCCAAAGCTTTCCTACCTCTCTCACCCAGCCTAGCCCAGCCTGATGGCAAAGGACCAGGTTCCATGTGCCAGAGAGTCACTTTACTTCTAACAAGGCCTCTTCAAGCTTAAGTAAAAGAGGCAGGTAACACAGTTGTGAGGCTCCTTCAGTTCCTGGGGGCTAGGGGTGCCCCCCAGGGCCTCTGGTTCAGACCCTGGTGCAGCAGTCCCAGAGGCCACCTGCAAGGATAGCAGTGCCCTTTGGGCTACTGCCAGTAGGAGCCAGCTAAGCTGCCTTGTGGATCTGAGGCAGGACTACTCTTGAGCATTCAGGTCCCGCTGGCAACCATCCCTGATCTATAAGAGCTAAGGTAGCCTCCTCTCCAGGGGAAGCATGGGCATGTGGGGGGCCTTGAAGCTGGAGTTCTTCCTATCTGGGGCCTAAAATACTAAGATTAAACCCCAGGAAAAGTATGCCAGCAAGCCCTTTGTATCTCTTTGCATCCTTGGGCACACCTGTGACTCAGGCGCCTGCTTGCCCCATTTTCAGATGAAGAAACGGAGGTGCAGCAGCTTATGCCTGTAACCTCAGCTACTCAGGAGGCTGAGACAAGAGCATCTCAAGTTTGAGGCTGGCCTTAGCAGCTTAATGAGACCCTGTCTCAAAATAAAAATCCAAAAATGGCCCTGGGATGTAGCTCAGTGATAGAGCACTTGCCTGTAACATGCCCAAGTCCCTGGGCTACTCTCCAGTACCACTAAAAAAAAAAGAAACTGATGTGCAGAGAAACAAAATAATTTGCCTAAGGTCTGGGTGATGGTACTGTCACTTGCACACAGTTTCCATCTGGCCCTCAAGACCAGGCCTTCTGACCTGGATTCCTTTACCTGGGTTCCTCTACTTCCTGGAAGATTTTTTTTTGCGGGGGGGGGGGGGGTGTACTGGGGATTGAACTCAGGGGCATTCAACCACTGAGCTGTGAGACAGGGTCTCACTGAGTTGCCTCTCTTTTGCTGAAGCTGGCTTTGAATTCCTGATCCTCCTGCCTCAGCCTCCAGAGCCACTGGGATTATAGGTTGTGCCATATGCGCCTGGCCTGGCAGATCTTTAACCAAAACTTCAGAAAGAAGAGCTGCCTCTTCTCCTACGGCCCAAAGACTCTTGAGTCTTCTGCCTTTCAATCCTTGCTACTTATGCCATCTTTTCCACAGGCGACCAGGAATTCTGGTGCTGATTAATGATGCCGACTGGGAATTGCTGGTCAGTACCTCAGCGTAGGGGGGATACCCCTCTCCCAGCCCCTATCCCTGCTCTCCCAGCCCCTGCTCTCCCAGCTGCTGCTTCAGTAGAAAAGCTTTGGGCGTCTCATTAAGCCTAAATAGGGTGGCTGGATAATCTCTGTGCCACTCCAGCCCCTGAACTGATGCTACTCAAGTGTCCCACCCCAAGTGAGGAGAGAATGGGCTGCTGGGGAGGTGGTGAGTGTCAGATCTAGGACCACCTCTAGACTTGCATGTTGATGTACAGAGCACCCATTTCATTTGGCAAAGTCTGTCTTTCTCAGAGCAGCAAGTCCTCCCTGGTTCCCTTCCCAACACCTGGGGAGAAACTAGACCCTGTCCTGATGGTCTCTGTCCTCTCTCCTGCCCCAGGGTGAGCTGGACTACCAGCTGCAGGACCAGGACAGCGTCCTCTTCATTTCCACGCTGCATGGAGGCTGAGGGCCCCTCTCTTCCTCGGCACCCTTGCAGGGGGAGAACGGAACAGACAGACATCCCCTTGGGCCCAGCCTTCAGGTCTCCCTGTCCCTCGTGGCTGCCTTCTTCCCTGCTCTATCCCCCAAGCTCCCTCCAGGCAGGGAAAAGAGGCCAGGTGCTAAAAATGAGCCTTTCTCAGGCACGTGAGCAGGGGAAAGCAGGCAGTCAGGCTCCTGAGCCCAGAGCTCCTTCCCAGCAGCTGAGGTGGGGGAGGGTGCCCCTCTGGTGTGTCAGGAGCAGAGGGGGGCCGTGTGGCCAGGTGATCCAGCTGCCTTCCATTCCTGTCTCAGTCTGAGCACTGAGTGACTGCCAACGAGCACTCCAGGTCATGGCCACATTTGTGGAGAAGATGGATGGACCTGAATAACTGATGGGAAACTCCTCCCTTCCCAAAGACTGGAGGAGTCTCCGCCTCAGTTTCCCCATCTGGACAGCAGAGGGCTCTGTCTGTCCCCCACTGATATCATTATGGAACCCCAGCTGGGGTCCCCTATTCAATACTGACTCCCTCCCCCTCACCCAGCAGCTGCTGTCCCAGCCACACCCCTCCTCCTGCTCCCCCCACCCCCAGCCCTTGACCCTGGCTGGCCTCCCCCACACACACAGGCCACCAGATGGGCTCCTGAGACCCTCACCATGCTGTCTATAGTTCATTCTTCTGTGGGTGGAGAAGAAGAGGAAGTAGCCCAACCTCCGATTAGCCAATAGAGGCCTGGGGGGAGGGTTTCAATCTGCCTCAGTTTCCTTCTCTACACTAACTGAATATTCATAATACCTGAAAGCCAAGGAGATATATGATGGCACAGATGTAAAGTCTATGTCCCTTCCCACCTCCTGCAGAAAGCAGGGTCGGAGCAAGCAGCACCTGGTAGGCAGAGGGGTTTACCCCCTCCCTCTGTCTGTTTTGGAAGTCTGGGGTCCTTGGGGCCTGCAACAGCTGGCCTTGAGCAAATAAAAGACTAGGGTTGTTTACTAGCCTTGCTTGGAGCTTCTTCATCCTCAGAAATGGGTGGCACCCCAGTTCCCCCTACCAAAGCCTCTGTCTGATATGACCTCTCTATCCTCACCTAGGGCTCTCAGCTGCGCTTTAACCAAAAGGCTAAAACTCAAGCTACCCCAGAGGGGGTAGTCTGATAGGACTATCTGGAAAAGGAGGTGCAGAGCCAGTCTGTGCTGACCAGTCTGAGTCCCAGGACATCCCCACTGGTCTGTCCAAGGCCAGGCTTTGTCCCACCAGCTGCATTCAGCAGCCCCAGAACCCAGAATGGGAGTGGCATAGATGAGAGTCCCCTCTCCTTCCCGTGATCTGGAAGAAAGAGCTTTGTCTGCTGAAGGGAGACCTCAAAAAAGAATTAGGGCACTATCATCCCACCCCAAACATTGCTTTTCTTTAAATGTCAGTGATTTCAGGTGGAATTTCTCCCCCTGTGGAGACGAAAGTGCCCAGTGTCCCAGCTGTGTTGGGAAGAATGTCGGGTACACATCGTTAGAGAACAGATGACCCCTGGCTGGTGGACTTCTCCCCAGTCCTGCTGCAGTGGAGGCCCTCTAGGCATGTGTGGGTGGGAGCATCCATGTTGGGATTACTGGTCCAGGCAATACTGGGTGCAGATTAAGGCCAGCGTTGGGTCTGAACGCTGTCCAGAGAGGCCGCATGACCGGCCCTCATTAGGTGCTGAGGTCAGAGTCTCCATATTAGGGAACAGAGTAAGGGACTTGTAATGGCCCTCACAGTCTCACTTTTAGAGGGTCAGCTTGTCTAAATTCTTGTAACCTGAGGGTCCCTCCCTTTCTCCCATTAGGGAGCTTCAGGAATGGCCTGTCCCACTTTCCTGGAACTGACCACACTAGGGTTCCTTTCTGCTGCCTGCAAAGGGTGTGGAATGATATATGTGGGGTATCCCAGCCTCCACCACACCCCAGTTACTGCGGAGCAGGAGAGGGGCTGGAGAAATCGGGTGCTCCCCACAGCTGATGCCAGCGCCACCATGGAAATTGGCCAGGGATAAGGCACTCCAGATCATTTCAGGTCATTTTTAGCCTATAGCCCAAAAGGGGTCAGAGACAGGTGACACTGGCTCAACCCAACAGCTGCCAGTGGTTCTCCCATGCAACTCCCTGACCCCAACTTTTGAGGAAATAAACGAATAAATAAACCCCACTATCTCCGAAGATTTTTCTTTAATGAAAAGGATTCGTTTGTCCAAGTTCTATTTCCAAAGCAGAGGTGGTTGCCCGGCTGGAGCGCATGATTCCCGAGCTTCTCGGACTCTAGCAGCGGTTGGAGGAGGCTCAGTCCATCCGTCCGTCTGGAGGGGCTTGTGGGAGGGGTTGGTTGGCTTGGAATTTAGGGGCAGATTAGGATTTTGTTTGTTTGTTTAGGGGATACCGGTCGGGGGGATGCGATAGAACAAATTCAAAAACGAGTTAACGAGCGCGTTCGCCGGCATCTGCTTTCACCCCCGACTTCCTGCGGCTCTGGCCGAGGGCGGGCTCCCAGACCACATTTGGGTCCCGCTGCTGCGTGCCAGTTTCGTTTGGGCAGAAATTTTAAAGGGGGGAAACCAACGCGATCTACTGGAGGACCCCGCCAGGAGGGACCAGTCACCCGCAGAGGAGGAGAAGGAAAGAGGATGAGGATGGCGACGGCAACGCTGATGGCAGGGATCGGCGTCCCTCTGCGCGTCGAGCTGGGGCCGCGATCCTCACACTTGGGGCCAGTCAGCCGCCCCCATCCCATCCCCCAGGGTCTCGGCTTCCCTGAGCTTGGTCCCTGCAACCCCCAACCCCTGTTGCGCCCAGAGCTCAGCCACAGATGTCCAGCCACAATTCTCGGTTGGCCGCAGACTCGTACAAGAATTGCGTTTGGACAATCAGTGGCGAAGCCCCAGAGTTCAAGGCCCCGGTCTCCTGCGGGTTTCCGCTTCGCTCTTTTCTAAAAACGCCGGACCCGGAGATCTCCGGAGCTGCCCCTCGGAATACCTCGCAGACGCTCAGCAGTCTCGCCCCATCCCGCGGTAAGGTGGACGAGCAGGCACGCGGATCCCAACACAGCACGGGGATCCCCATCACCCCTGGAGTCTTTCCTTCGAACGCGGCCCGGGGTCCCTGGAGTAGACCGCGCTGGGTCTGTGCCGCCCCATGTTGGGGAAATCTCCTCTGCCAGGCCCGGGGAACCCCGACTCCCCTCTCCCTGTCCCCCAGCCTGGGCTCGCCGAGAATCCGGAAAGCTGGGGCCCGAGGCCGGGTCGCGTTTCCGAGCCCGGGGTCTGGGCTGCTGGACTCGCGGGTCCCCCGCCCCCGCCCAGCCCCGCGCACGCACCGGCTCGGGCGCTCTCCGCTTCCCTGTGGCTGAGTCGCCGGAGGTGGCGGCGGCGGTGGCGGTGGCCCGGGCGGCGGGGAGCACTGGAATGCGCCGCCGGGTCACCTGCAGCGCCCGGGGAGCCGGACTGAGAACCGGCGTGCTGGCGAGGCGCAGGGCTGAACCCGAGCGGGCGCCTCTGGCGGCTCGGGGCCGGGGCGGGCTTTTAGTGGGCCGCTCCAACAATACGGGCCTGGCGCGGAGAAAGGGGCTCGGCTGCAATTGGTACTGGATTTGAATAACGCCACGGGGCCATCAATGGTCATTGTGTCGGCGGGTAATGAATCTCCGCTGTCTCTCCTCGGGCTGGCCAGGCAGCTGCAACCTGCGCTCAGGCAGCTCTTAAAGACATAGCGTGCCCCTCCCTGGGGGCCGCCCCCCTCTGCACCGGCCGGACCCTTCGCCCTCCCACCCCCACACAGCGCCCTCCACTCCCAATGCCCCGCCTGCTCCCTCAGCCTGACCCCTTTACCCACGTCCCCTCCCTCCTGGGCCAGGCACCCACATCCCGGCCTTGCGCTTTGTGACCCGAATCAGGCCCTGGCCTTGGCTGAGCTCCCCAAGAGAATTCAGGGGACCCCAGAATATTAAGGCCCAATCCCTGCCTTCCAGCTATGTCTAGACCTATGACCTGGCCTCTGAATCGCTTCTTCCTTGAGCTCCTGTCCAGGGTATTATTGGGAGGGGGGGGGGGGGGAACAGTCTGGAGGTCAGAGGGTCAGCCAGCCCCTAAGAAGGCCATGTAGTAGGATAGGATAGGAGGGATGCAGCCCCAACCCCCAGTCTGAGGATGCCATCTCCAGAGACCACACCACTAGGGATCTGGAGGCTGCCCCCTTCTCCAACCGAGGAAAAAGGCTTGGTTCCCAAGCTCCAGGCTCCAGGATACCTCTGCTGTAGCAGCCGGGGAGGGGGAGCAGGTGGGTGTTAGAGGGGCGTGGAATTTATTAATGCTTGTGTCCTCACTGTCTCTTTCATTGGACAGCCCACCCATTCAGGAGAGCAGGGACTCTGAAAGGTCTGATACCCCCACACCCACTCCTCACTAGGTTCTTACATTGCTGGGTAAAGAGGTACCCGACTCGCTTCCTGAGCTCAGTCTGTCAATCCCAGTGAATATCACCCCTGGAGGGGGAATGAATGGCCAGTCTTCATTCATCCTGCCTTCTATCCACCTTAAACCCAAAACTCTGCCCTTGCACACCCTATCATCCTGCTCTGAAATGCTCTCCTGTCCTCACAACCTCTGGGCAGCCCTGCCATATGCCCAGATGAATTGTGATTATCAGTTTGACTGATTTTGTTCCCTAGGACAGGAAGTGAGTCCTTTCTATCTTTATTCCTCCAGAGTCTAGAATAATGTCCTCCCCCAACAAATCAAATGTCTGTGGGTGTTTGCATGCATACCTCATTAATTTAAAATGAACCACATAGATTTCTTGGAGTTTCTTTTTAAAAGGTGGCAAAATATGGCTTCTAGATTTTATAGAGACAAAGCCCTGCCAACCAGATCTCAATTCCTGGAAGTGCTCCACTTAATAATAATAGCAATAAGTGTCTTAGATGCTGAGCACTAAGTGCTTTAAAGATAGTTTAACTGGGCATGGTGGTACACACCTCTACGGAGGCTAATGCAGAAGGATCACAAGTTCAAGGGCAGCATGGGAAACTTTGTGAGACCCTGTCTCAAAGAGTAAAAGGGCTGGGGATGTAGCTCAGTAGTAAAGTGCCCCTGAGTTCAGTTCCCAGTATCACAAAGAATAAATTGTTTAGAAATAAAAAAAATAAAGGTAGCTTACTGACACTGGTGCACCTGTAGTCCCAGCCACTCAGGAGGTGGAGACAGAAAGCCAGCCCTCAGCAGAGCAAGACCCTGCCTAAATAAATTAATTAATTAAATGAAGGTAGTACCTTGTTGACTCTCCACACAACCTTGGGAATTAGGTACTATTATCATCACCACCACCACTGAAAAACTGAGATTAGTGGTTAGCTCCCATCTGCCAGGTGATGTTGCCAGAGTTGGAACTCAAGGCTGTCAAGCTGCACACTGGTTTTTCCAGGCTTTTCTTAGCAGATGTGACTGTTGTAAATGCACTCAAAACAGTGGGACCTGGGAGACACTCTATCCCTGTCCGTTTACATTATAATCCAACCCTATACTATCCTCGTGCAAGTACAACCAAGATGGAGCGGGCAACGGGATGTCTCTGAGCGGGTGGGGAGCTCCCGGCTGGGTCTTAGTTGAGATCTAGGAGGAGGACTTTTCCTCCTGCTCCTGGGGATGTGGACACTATTGTTTTGTTCATTTGGTTTTTGGTGTTGGGGATCTAGCCCAAGTCCTTGCGCATGCTAGGCAAGTGCTCTTCCACTGAGCTGCACCCCAGCCCAGTGTCAGCACTATTTAAAGCCCATCAGTTGCCCTTCCTCTCACCCTTGGGGACTGAGGAGCCAAGGAGCATCTACTCTGGTCTTTGAATGTTTATGGAATGCCTACTGTGAGCTAATTAGGGGCTCAGCAGAGGATAGATATTCCCAGAGGGGGTACAGTGTGCAACTGAGGCAGGTCACAGGAATGGAGAGCCCCAAGGAGGAGTGAGGAGTTAGGCAAAGGCAGACACTGCATCTCCCATCCAAAGCTAGCAAGCAAAACGGAACATGGCACGGCGCATAGTGCACACCCATGTAATCCCAGTTTTTTGTGAGACTGAGTCAGGAGGATCACAAGTTCAAGGCCAGCCTGAACAATTTAGTGAGATTCCGTCTTAACTAAAATTTATCTATCTATCTATCTATTTATTTATTTATTGGGAATGAAACCCAGAGGTGCTTTACCACTGGGCTGTATCCCCAACCCTTTTTATTTTACATGGGGTCTCACTAAGTTGCTGAGGTTGGCATTGAACTTGTGATCCTCCTGACTCAGCCTTCTTCGGAGCCACTGGGATTATAGGCGTGCACCACTACAACAGGTAAAATAAAATTTAAAGTAGAGCTGGGGATGTAGTGACAGAGCGTTTGCCTGGCAAGCTTGAGGCCTTAGGTTCAATCCCCAGTGGGGGTTAGGGGGCTGGCAAATTCTGAGAAGGAAAGGAATTCAGTGTGGCTGGAGTGCCAAATGGAAGAGGAAGTTCCAGATAAAGCTGAGGTCAACCCTGCTGGGTCTTGCAGGACATTGGGAAGGATTTGTGATTTTATCCTAAACGCTGTGGGGATCCTGAGAGGTCTGACAGGTTCAGATTTACATTTTTAAAGATTTGCTGGGGCTGAAGTGTGGAGAAGCGGGAGGGGGATGGGCCAAGTTCATGACGGGAGACTAATTAGGCTACTGCTGGTTTGCAGGTGAGAGCTTGCAGCAGTGGAGCAGGGTCTGTGTTCTGGATGGTCTGGGTGACCTGTGCCCAGCAATGTTTAGTGGGCACCTGATGTATACACTAGGGGAGAGGAGGTGAACAGTGATGTTGCCCCTCCAAAAGCACCCAGCTGGTGGACAGGCAGGATACCCAGCCAACCCCAATGGAGGTGGGAGAGCCACAAGGAAACACGTTCGTTCTTTTCTTTCTTTCAATTGAATCCAGGGATGCCCTACCACTTCGTTGAGGCAGGGTCTCACTAACTTGCTAAGGTGGGCATCCATGGAACTTGGAATCCTCCTACCTCAACCTCCCCAGGCGCAGGGATTACTAGCATGTGACACCACACCCTGCTCCAGGGAAGTATTGGCAAAGTTTAACTGAAGTATTGGCAGAGTGCTCTGGGACTACAGAATGCAGACGCTCATTTGAACAGGGAGGCTGTGG